AGAAATTTCTGCTGGCGCCTGTTAAAAATGTTATGACCATAATGTTTCTTGTTTTCTTTGTCTCAGTTGGTTAGTGTAGTGCATCCAGAGTTCAGAGTCATTCCTTAAGCACAGAAACATATTTAAAAGATAAATCTGCAGGTTTTGAAGATGGGGGAACGACACAGGAAGAATTTTATCCAACGACCGGCCTACTTTTAATATTTGAAAGTTTAAGACTTTTTTTCCTTAATGTTTTTTTTCACCATCTCATCATAATTGTTGCTGAGGTGTTGTTTTTCTTCATCTATGACATTTAAAATGTTAATAGACTGCACAATGCCTGCAGTGCATGATCATTTATAAGATGACTGGTCCGTGCACATTACGAAGTCTCTGCAACTCAGCAGTTTTCTGTATCATGTTGTTTTCGTTGTGGTTTAATACTTTAGTCAAACACCCAAGTTTTTTTTTTTCTAACTAATCATTTACAGGCTTTAAAGGCTTTGGTTTATATGCATACCAACAAACTTTAACGAATTGTGAAATTGAAAATAGAGCCACATTTTAATGGATGTGGAACAAAAAAGTAAAACGACAGTGTGACTTTTTGATTACCTTGGAGTACAGTTGTACAGTCTCTCTGGCCAGTAGGTAAAGTTGATAAAGTACATTATGTTTAACTATAAACTTGTATACAAGAATGGATTCCTTTATAGATGTTTTTATATGTTGTATGTGTAGCACATTTAAACAGCATCCCTCTTAGTTATTTAAATCCCTGTAGCTCTTTGAAGGCAACAGGACATGTGTTGTGGGAAATGGATCAACTCTTACTCTGTAAAGGTGGCCTTTTATGTAGTATTTAATCTGAAATTGTTATTTAGCAAAAGCTGATGCCCTGTCTTATTCTATCATTTCCACTTAAACAACATGAACTTCTATGGACTTCTATGAATTCTATGCACTTAGGCATAATCATAATGCCTTGACCCTGTTTGTGAAATTATTTCCGTCAGATGAAAATGAACACAATAGTCTCGAGGACAGATGTAAATTGGGATTCCTACTATTTCAGTGGTACTTTATTTCATTTATAACTTTGGTCACAGATTTATATAGGTAAGCTAAACCTTTCTCATTTATGCGATTTAAATGGCGTTAAGGTCCAAGTAAAATTTTCCGCACAGGTTAAGGAACAGAACCTTAATATGTTCGAATTTGATATGTGCTTGCAGGGTGAAATATAACCCTGACGTTCTGCAACCATGGTTGCACTTTTGAGTCCCTGAGGTTTATAGGGCTTCTGAGATATGCTGTTGCTTACATGCTCACAATTATAGTGCTGACGTGGTGAAGTTAAACAGGTATAATGCCTACGAAATTCCCGTGAGAAATACAGACATTTAATTGAAGCACAGCTGAGCTGATAATAACCCTATCAGTTTTGCAGAGAATAAAAAAAAAGAGTAAACCAACAATGTTCCAGTTAATTCAGTGTTGGCATAATTACCATTCTGCCGTTAAATTATTATTATTTTTTCATATCACCCACAGTGCCTCACAGTGCTACCCTAGAAAAACCAGGATTCATCATCCAACTCTTTACATTAGACTTTAGTAAAGCAGCCATGGCTATTATTGTTGGTCTTTCAGATTATTCAGGGAATCCATCTAAAAAATGCAAGTGTGTTTTAGTCTGAACTAAAGTGATGGACATCCAGCAGTCTGGTTGGGATGGAACTCAATTCAATTACCTGGTTTCTCCATGCTGAGGAGATCCCATCCAACCACTTAATAGGCAATGTAATTCTATCACCCAAGTAACCAATACTCTGATACACTCTTGGATGTGTTCAATCCACTTTTATAGTTCTGATTAAAACCTTTGTGTGGGAAGTTGTCCTCAGAGTTTTGACTGATGTGTGTTTGAGGAGAGCCCCTAACAAGATTTTATTTCTTTAATTGGATTTTATTGATACTCACACTAAGAGGGCTAATTTTCCTTCAGGGAAAAAAGAACACACTGAAGTCCTTGCACAAGCACAATGATGAAAAAGCGTAAAATATATTTACATTAAGAGGACTGGGAGAAAAAAAAAACCTTTAGTGACACTTATTCGATTTAGAGAAAAAAACATGCCTATGGAATGTGAATAATTTAATTTCTGTAATTGAAGAAGTCCCACTAAAACACTTTTTAAGAGCTGCTATCCATAACAATATTCTTGTGATGCACTCTCTGCAAAATGAAATCGCAGAATCGTGAGCCAGAGTGAGAATGACCTCGAAGTCAGTGAGAGCACAGCTGAATGCTTAATTAGGCCGTAAACGTTGGCAAGCGCGCTGCCTAAATAATGGCGATGGTGGAGATCCAAAAACAGAAGCAAACGTTTTGCTGAGATTTCAGAAGTAATACTTGCCAAAGCTACCAAATGGCTCTTTGTCCCAAAGAGTGAAACTGTTGGCTACGGTACAGCGCTTGCTAAGGTGGCCACCTAATATCGTTCTCTCCGTGTCTCAGATATCTCAGTGGGATACATTTTCCCCTCAGGATGTTCTGATTAAATGTATTAGAGTTACAAATGCAGATGATTTATCACCAGTTTAGAGGTTAAGAAAAAAAGAAAGAAAGAAAATAATTAAATTGGGTCGTCAGCGGTATACAGAACAGTACTCGGTGTGATAAGCATATGAAAGGTTTATTAAAAATCATATGAATGTTATGTTCCAGTACAGCAAATCATTTTGCAGAGGAGTTGACACATTTAGTCATGAAATAGATTTAGAAAGAAAACTTTATTGATTTTCTGTGTGAATAATGGAAATTGGTTAATTAATGGTTGACATGTTACTGAACACTGAATATATCATGAAAAGGTTCTGTGAAGCATATTTGTTTTTGACAAAAGTCAAACCTGGCCTTCCCGATATTAGCTTTTCATTAACAGGGTTGTTAATTATGCAGCTTTGTAGTGGGATTAACAACACTTTAGGAGTGAATGACTATAAAGTAGTTTCTAAAGATGATAACCAGGATATACTGTTATTTATCATATTCATAAAAATAATATAAGAATAAGTTAAGAATATAACTATATGAATATATCTTTGTTGCCTGGCTTAACTCAACAAAACCATGCAATCCAGCACAGAGCATATAAAGCTGATAATCAATAGCTCAGTTAACTCCAGCTAAGTAATGAGTGAATTCACTTGCAAGACACTTAATTCTTAATTACACGCAGCATCATGAATTGAGTACTTAACATAGTGTGGAATGGATGAAAATGAGATTTTCAATGGCAAATAGCGATTTACAGCACAGTGAAGAATAAATTAGAGAGTAAAAATGCCTGAAATGCCTAAAGGAATGTAATTAATGCCTGATAAGAAGTGTGAATGGCTTATAGAAAAAAGGCAACCATGGATTTGTTTTTCTTATTTCCTGGAACCATCTTTTAGGCTGCAGAACGTAATAAGGAAATGTGGCACCGTATGGGAAATGCTCATAAAAAAAAGGAACACGTAAAGAAAAGGACTTCTGTCACAATCCTGATATATTTTTCTTCTTCTACAGTCTATGATGATTCAACAGGTTATCTATAACTGGTGCAAATAAGGATATGTTCTGCTTTTTATCGCTATATTAATATTGAGTTTCTTAAGGCAGCTTCTAAGCTTCATCTGAGCGGTGGATGTCTGTGGTACTTGCGATTGACCACCCGTTATCTTTTGCTAGAAATGTACAACAGTGATCATATGTTTGATGACTGACGAAGAAAAAGCTAACATTTTTTCTTATTTCATGAATGAAATGTCAGAGTAATATGTTTGAGAAACGACAGTCAAAAACAAATAGCTAAAGGGTAGCACAAAATATACACATTTCTACTTCCAATTTCTCTGGCCAAATTAGCAGGAGTTCTACAGTTCTTAACTTGAAAAGATTCTTAAGCAATATGCATACTGAGAACACAAGATAATAATTAGTGTTGTTAGAGGCATTTCAATTTCAACAACTGCATATTATTGTCTTTTACTGAACTATAATGTATTTAGTTGGATATACTAGGGCATCCGATTCAAGTGATGCACACTAAGGAGAATTGAGGTACTTCCAATCTTAAAATTAAATCAACAAAGTAATATCAAATCATCATTTAAAATGACTATTTTCTCTTGAAGAACCGTAGCTAAAAACTAAGAAAACCTTCATTATTGTTTTTCTTTCACTCTGTCTGTCAATTTAGAAGTTGTAAACACCTTATACTTTTTTTGTCATGCTGATAAGGAATTACATATTTAGATATTTTACCTTATTTCTTCATAACGGACTGTGTAAAGTTAATTAAACATACCTTCACAAGTAAATGAGCCTGGCTGATGGTTAGCATCACATCTCATGATTGAAAGCTTCCTGGTCCCATTTGCCTATGTTGGCCATGAAATAGATTAATGACCTGAATAGACCAGTGCAGGGATGGAAAATGCATGAATTCTTTCATTTGCTTTGTTAGATATTGACGATTTGGGTCAATAGGTTGATTATAATCTATCTATCTATCTATCTATCTATCTATCTATCTATCTATCTATC